TCCTTAAAGACAATTCCCAGAAGCCATCTATACCACTCCCCCTTACAGATCATTAGTTAGAATACAGTCATATAGCAACCCCTCGAAGACCAAAGGAAGCTCAGGAAACACTCTTTTATCTGAGTGGCCACATGCCAACTAAAAGTTGGGATTTTATTGCTGATAGAGAAGGGGAGACAGACATTGGGGCAACTAGTGGCCTCTGTCCTGGCAGTTTGAGTTTGGTATGTGAATACCACAGAGAATGGGAATGATCTCAGCCCTCTTAAAGGAAGCTGGTAATATGAGGCCTAACTAACTTTTGTAGAGAAACTGTTTTATCTTCCTCTTAAAACTCTATTAATACTTTTAGAGTTGATACCTTTCCATTTAGAAATGTCAGTGTTCACTTATGATGGCACTCCCTACAGAAGAAAAAGAAAGACATAAAGCCAGATGATTACAAAATTTTTCTTATATATGGACAATTTCAAGCAAAATAGAGAGAAGGGTGGAATGAACCTCTATCTACTCATTATACAGCTTCAACAACTATCAACTCCTGAACCTCTTCTGTTATCTACACCCTACTTCTTCTTCTATGTTGTTTTGATGCAAATCCTAGGTACTGTATAATTTCATCTATTGATATTTTAGGATCAGTAAAAGATAAGGACCTTTTAAAAATGTATCTTTATTTTGGGGCACCTGGGTGGCTCAGTCATTAAGCGTCTGCCTTCAGCTCAGGTCATGATCCCAGGGTCTTGGGATCGAGCCCCACATAGGGCTCCTTGCTCAGCGGGAAGCCTGCTTCTCCTTCTCCCACTCCCCCTGCTTGTGTTCCCTCTCTCTCTGTGTCTCTCTCTGTCAAATAAATAAATAAATAATCTTTAAAAAAAATAAATAAATAAAAATAAAATGTGTCTTTATTTTATTTATTTTTTGAGAGAGAGAGAATACACATGTGCGCGTGCACATGAGAGTGGACGGGGAGGGGAGGGGCAGAAGGAGGGAGAGAGAGAGAGACGCCCCGCTGAGCACGAGCCCTTCCTGGGGCTCGATCTCACGACACTGAGATCATGACCTGAGCCAAAATCAAGAGTTGGACACATAACTGACTGGGCCACCCTGGTGCCCCAAGCTAAGGACTTTTTTAAAAAGCATCATCACAATATCATTATCACACCTTACAAAATTAGCAAAAAGTTTTTAATATTATCAAAGATTTTGCCAGTGTTTAAAGTTCCCTCGTCTCAGAAATGAATAAATTACATAAAATAAATTGCCCGCATCTGTCTCATGGAGTTTTTTGTTTTGTTGTGTTTTGCTTAATTTATTTGTTTGAGAAACGAAACAAGGTCTTTACGGTGCGGTTGGGATGACGTGTGTCTAAGCCCCTTTTAATCTAGCTGCACAGTTCGGCATAGTAACCACTGGCCACATGTGGCTATTTAAATCAATGAATTTTTAATACAGCAAAAAAATTCAGTCAGCCACACAAGCCACATTTCAAGCATTCAGTGGCCTCATATGCTGTGGAATAGCACCTTCCACACTGGACAATGCAGATACAGAATATTTCCATCATTGCAGAAAGTGCTATTTAGACAGCACCACCCTGGAGGATGCGCGACCCCTTTTTCCTTGCAGTTTATTTGTGGAGGAAACTGAGGGTGTTTGTCCTGCCGAGATCCACACATCTGAAACTCTGCTGATGGCAACCCTCCCATGTTAGTTATTCTCTATTAACCAGCAGTTAATAGAGTTAGAGTTGTTTCTCTGTTCTCTGTATTCTCTATTAACCAGCAGTTCGACCTGCTGCCTTGATCCAACTCAGGGTCGATTCCTTGGGGCGGTTTAAGATGACAAGCAACCCAATGCTGGTAGTGTGTTAAAAAGCACATGGAGGGGGAAAAAAAAGCACACAGAGAGATCAAAATCTGGAAGGATGTACATCAGAACATTATCAGTAGTTATTCTGGGGAACTAGAATGACTTTGTTTTTTTTGCCTTATTTTTGCTAATCTGTATTTCATTATTTATTCCACAGTGAGCATGCCTTTCTAGTGAAAAGTAAGCAATAGCTATTTATTGTACACAATGTGCCAAGCGCTGTGCTGAGCGATTCACTTACATGAGCTCATGGGATCCTTGTGACAATTCTATGAAGTAATTACTATCTCCATTTTGCAGTAAACACTCAGGAAGATTAAGTAACTTGTCCAAGGTCATATAGTCAGTATTTGGTGGAGTCTGGATGTAATCTCGTAGCTGCCTGACTCTCAAGGGATTCTGACTTTGGTAAGTGCGGTGTGGAGCCTGGGAGACTTCATTTCTGGAAAATTCTGTCAGGTTATTCTGAGGCAGGACCCAGGTCTGGGAACCGAAGAGCAGGGATGCACTGCATCATCATCCACAAACATGCTGTCTCCCCATGCTAACCCCTGCTCTCAGCTGAAAAGTATTCTACATCTGGCACGTACGGAGCTTAAAGCCTGACGCTTGCACAGAGCCTGTGCTCAGCAAATGGACCTTCCTCTCTCTTTCCCTGCTCTTTGGAGATAGCCCTTGAGAGTGGATACCACCAGATATCGTCTGCACTCTTTTCTCATGCAACAGCTTGTGTTGAGCTTCCCCTATATGCCAGGTAGATTAGGGACATCAGGACACATTAGTGCACCAAAACAGACGAAAGTTCCTGCCCTCATGGAGCTTACAGTTGGAACTTTGGGAGAAGAGATAAAAACGAAGATAGTAAGTTAAACATGGAGAAAGGGGAGCCTGGGTGGCTGTCAGTTAAGTGACAGACTCTTGATCTCAGTTCAGGTCTCAATCTCAGGGTCTTGAGTTCAAGTCCCATGTTGGGCTCCATACTTAAAGAAAAAGACAAAGAATAAATATAGAGAAAGCCAGATCATGAGACCCTATTCGGAAAGGATATGAAAAATGGGGTGTGTGTGTATGTGTACCTATAATTTGGGGGCGGACGGCCAGGGAAGTACTCTGTAAAGCAGGGGTCGACACACAAGGGACCGAGGGCAGCCAAATCCAGCCCACTGCCTAAGAATAGTTTTTCCATTTTCAACTTGTTGGAATAAAAAAATTTTTAAAAGAACAACATTGGGGTGCCTGGGTGGCTCAGTCGTTAAGCGTCTGCCTTCGGCTCAGGTCAAGATCCCAGGGTCCTGGGATCGAGCCCCGCATCGGGCTCCCTGCTCAGCAGAAGCCTGCTTCTCCCTCTCCCGCTCCCCTTGCTTGTGTTCCCTCTCTCGCTGTGTCTCTCTGTCAAATAAATAAATAAAATCTTTTAAAAAAATTTAAAAAATAAAAGAACAACATTTTGCAGCGCATGAAAATTACAGGAAATTCCATTTCAGTGTCTATAAATAAAGTTTTATTAGAGCACAGCCCTGCTTGCTGTTTATTGTTTATTAGTTGCTTTTGCATGACGATGGCAGGGTTAAGTATTGCCAAAGACCTCATGTGGTCCACGATGCCTAAAATGTTTACTCTGAACATCCAAGCAGATGTCACAGCACATTCAAAGGCCTGAGATTGGACCATGCCTGGTGTATTCTTGGCAAGACGAGGAACTCATGGTGTTTGGAGCAGAGTGGATGAGGTCAGAGAGCACATGGGGGACCAGATCATGTGCAGTCCATCATAAGGACTTGGGATCCTAGCCTGAGCAAGATGGGGTCCATGGCAGTTGTGTGGTGAGGGGTGATGTGGTCTGGCTTATTTTCACAGATTTCCCTACTTTAAGAGCAGACTGTAAGAGGGTGCGGGAGAATGGAAACAATGAAACCAGCTGTGAGGGCACCCTAATAATCTATGTAAGAGATGGTGAGGGGTTGAACTAGGAAAGTGATAGAATTGCTGGGATTTATCTAGGGGAATTCCTTTTTTTTTTTTTCCTTTTTTTAAGATTTTTATTTTTTTAAGTGATCTCTACATTCAACTTGGGGCTCGAATTCATAACTCCAAGATAGAAAGTTGCATGTGCCACCGACTGAGCCAGCCAGGCGCCCCTATCTAATGGAATTCTTGATAAATTTTGAAAGTAGCGTTGACAACGTTTGCTCTGGGTTAGGAACAGTATCTGAGTGAAAGCAGTGGTGAAGGGTGACTCCAAGGTTCTTGGCCTGAGCCAACATAAAACTGGAGTTTTCTTTAGCAGAGCTGGGAAGATTGTGGAAGAAATTGGTTGGGCGGGGGAAGAGGAGGTGTTCAGTTTGGGTTATACTCATCTGAGATAGTTTTAGACGTCCAAAAGGTGAGTAAAGACAGAAAAGAGATATAGCTCATTGGATGCTCGCCTTTCCTCCAACAGATCCAGCTCACCCAGTCCTAGGCCCTGTGTCTGCTCCCCCCTCTGCCGGGAACACTCCATCTGTAGACTCTTGCGGGGTTTGCTGGCCTACTTCATTCACAGCTCCATTCAAATATCAGCTCTGCAGGAACCTTTCCTGACTCACCTAACCAAATAGCCCCCCACCCAACTTACAACCATGCTTTATTCGCCTTCTGCCTGTAAATTCCTATCTTTAGTATTTTCTTCTGTGAGACCATAAGCTCCATAACGGCAGAAACTGTCTTATTCTCAAGCAGAGCCTGACACAGGGTAGAGACTCAAATATTTGTGGCATAATTTAATAAAGGAATAGATGAGGTATGGTAATTTTCTACTTTTTACATCCTGCATTCTCTACCCCCAAATTGTCTAACCCCTCTACCACCTACACACTCAGTTAAGAAGTCTGGTCACAGTTGTAGGCTTAGGAGTTCAACACTAGACACGCGTGCAATAACGAAGGGGATTGTGAGCAAGACATCACATCTTCAAGAGATGGCAAGAAAAAATTCTGTGTCTGGGCAGCATAATAAGATGATCAGGGGGGCACCTGGCTGGCTCAGTCGGTAGAACATGGGACACTTGATCTCAGGGTCGTAAGTTCGAGCCCCATGTTGGGTGTAGAGATTACTAAAAATAAATAAACTTAAAAAAAAAGATAATCAGGATGTGCAACTATAGAACCAGGTGAGGGGCCAGTGCTCCTTAGACACACCCCTTCCAGTTTCTAGCTTGTTTGCTCTGTCATTTTGGGGAAAGGGGCTCCCTCTTGGGTGTTTGGCAAAGCAAGTTTTGGTATTTTCCTGCCTGGGCAAAAATACAGCAGGAGAGATCTTCCAAGGATGTGTGAGTTGCAGCCATACAAAGTGGCTTTCTGTGGGTCTCTCTGCCAAAAAGGAGAATCAGCTGTCATCTACTCCTAAAATAAAAGTCTCTTGGAGAAGGTAAAAAGGGGGAGGGGGAACAGCAGTTATGTTGAAAGTACAGAATTTAGCCTTTTCTCTACCATCACGGTGAGTGCAGTTGACTCTTCCCCTCCAGGTCTTCTCACAAGACTTTCAGGATCAAGCAATTCCTGGGCAGGAAACAAAAGCAGAACCGTCCCATTCCCCAGTGGATTTGGATGAAAACTGGTAATAAAATCAGGCACAACTCCAAGAGGAGGCATTGGAGAAGATCCAAGCCGGGTCTATAAGGGATCGCGCAAGAGACGGCACACATGTTGATGCTGCGTGAAGGTCACATGCTCCTATCCCATCACTGCGTAAACATCACTGCTGCCTGAACCGTAGACACGTTTTATCAGGGAGATGATGTATCTCTGCTGCTATGCTTCTGCACGAGTAGGCTGGTTCAGTAATAAATATGTGAGACCTTCTGTTTGAAAGGAAAAAAAAAAAAGGACAATTTAGAATAGCTGCTTGCTGGAACAAAAAGGGGGAATTTTAAGGGCATTCAAACTGTTCTGTATGATACTGTTAATGATTGGATACGTATCCTTACACATTTTTGAAAATCCATAGAACTTTACGACATAAAGGATGGACCTTCATGTCATCTGTGGACGTCAGTTAACAATCAGGCATCGGTATTGGTTCATCAGTTTTATCAAATGTACCACACTAATGCAAGGGGTAAATAATAGGAAATTGTACGGGGCAGGGGTGGAATGTGTATGGCAACCTTCTGTATACTTACAACCACTCTAAAAAAGTAAAGTCTATTAATGAAAACAAATAAAAGTTTAAAGGGCACACTTTTTAATGAGAGCAAAACTTGTAAAAATACCCCTTGGTTTCAGTATCACACAAATGGGAAATAGAATGCCAGCCACCATTCATTAATTCGGAATTGATCCACTCTTCCTGAGTTTGAACTGTGTGTAGCTTTGCTTTTGTTGTTGTTGTTCTCAGTATTTTGTCATCCAAAGAAAGCCCGCAGAGGGCTATGACTCTTAAAAAACAGTATCAAAATGTTTCAACAACTGACAAACCTCAGACTTCCTGTATTTCTGTAACTTGCAGTTTTCCCTCCCCTCTTTTAATTTGTTAATGATCTCTCAGCCACAGGCTCCCTCTGTCACATATCCCTAACTAGATCAGTAGATCAAAGGTGAGGCTTTGCTAAGTAATCAGTGTAATTTCAACCATGTAGCCAGCTATTAAAAACAGACCTATAGGGTTTTTCAAGGACAACCAAGGTATTGATTTGGCATTAAAAAGAAAAAACAACAACAACAAAAAACTCCTGTAAGTGCAAGCAGTAATATACCAGGGCCAGTGTTTCCACACTGTCCCTGTTCCTTATTCACTCGGTCCCTGGGGAAATCCTGAAAGGCTCAGAAAAGGCAAATACACCCAGACCCCCCCACTATCTCAGCCCAGTTCCTGCCTTCAGAAAGGAATTTCACTCTCACAAACTAGACAAGGGAAGAGAAACCGCCTCATTTCTCTGACAAGCATTTTTCTTACTTTTTTTTAAGAGATTTTGTTTTCCCCTGCATTAATTTTCCTTCCCGGTTATTACACCTTTATGTGGAATTTTTTTAAAGAACACATTTCTTATGTAATCTGTTTTGCATTGCTGGAATGAGGAACCTTTTTTGCTCATATTGTTAAAATCTAGACAAGGCATCCGTGTGATAGATCACCCTGAGCCTTGGAAGGAAATGATTCACCACAATACTGTAACCGAAAGCGTTCTAACACCAGGGAAGAAGGTAGGTCATTAACCGTGTCACCTACACAAAGCAGCTATGGGGGCACCAGAGTCTTAGCTTAGCCTTTGCTCTCAGAGGTACCCTGAGCATGGCTTAGCCTGCTCCCATCAGCTCTGCCCCTCTTCTCTGGTTTCTCTGTCCAAATACAAACAACTGATGCTGGGAACTCAACTCCATTTTTAATTTTTTTAAAAGAAACCTACCACTTTGTGATTTTTAATTGTCCTCATCCATTCATCTGCTTCTAAAGGTCCTTCTCAGGCTATTCTTTTCTAACTGTTGTACTTAAATTTGTTAGATGAATAAATGAATGAAACCAAAATATGTCCAGAGTAAATCCAGAGTAGTAAAAGTAAAATAGATCTTTTAAAAAATTAAAAATGGAATACATTTTTATTTAAACAAACAAAAAAATGCACTAAGGCAACTTGTGGGAGAGGTGAACACTGAACACACCTATTCCTGATAAAAAATAAAAGATGTCAAACAATAAAATCAAAATAAGGGGGAAGCTGAAAAATGAAAAATGTGTATTTTATTTCTCTGTCACTGTGTTGGTGAAGGCAGATCACAGACACGCCCAGAGGTTCATCATTCTTTATGAAAAGTGATGTGAACTATTTCTCATTTTCCCTTATTTAGTCACATTTCAAAATTGAAAACTGATCACTATTGATGGAAAATTATCTGAATATTTTACACATTGAGATTCAAGCTGTTACTTTTATTCTTATTCCACATGGAAGTGACCATGTGTTTGATTTGATCCATGTGTTTTGAGCAAACATGCTAAAACTAGGTAGGGCTGTAATGTGACTTCCATGGGTCCCTTCCTTTATATAAAAAAAAGAAAATAGAATATATTTTATAACTGCATCAGTATAAAATGAATCAATGTGTTCATATCAAATATTAAAACATTTTCTTCAACCCAAAAGGTCATGTTTTTCTTCTGATTTTATTTATTTATTTTTTTAAAGATTTTATTTATTTGAGAGTTTTCTTCTGATTTTAAAAGATACTAGAACTGGGGCACCTGGCTGGGTTCAGTCGGTAGAGCATGTGACTTTTGATCTCGGGGTTGTGAGTTTGAGCACCATGTTGGGTGTAGAGCTTACTTAAACAAAAATAAAAAATAAAAGACACTTATGTTGTTTTTGGGGCCCGCTGTGTCTAATGGAGAAATCTGCCCTGGAGGACGGTCATTGTAAAGAAACATAGATTAATAATCATAAAGCCAACGACAGAAGACAGATATTTTTTAATATTTAAGAAGAGCCTGTCAGTGAATTATCACAATTATGAAAAATATTTGTATTCATTTAAAAAAAGAAAGGAAAGGGGCGCCTGGGTGGCTCAGATCGTTAAGCGTCTGCCTTCGGCTCAGGTCATGATCCCAGGGTCCTGGGGTCGAGTCCCACATCGGGCTCCTGACTCAGCGGGGAGTCTGCTTCTTCCTCTCCCTCTGCCTCTCCCACTGCTCATGCTCTCTCTCTCTCTCTGTATCTCTGTGTCTCAAATGAATAAATAAAATCTTTAAAAAAAAAAAAGAAAGAAAGGAAAATCCTTCTGCAAAATAAAAACCAACTGAGTGTTCATCCTGGGGGAATAGAAATAAATTGTGGTACCTCAATGGAACATTTTTCCATCACTAAGAAAATCAGTTTTCAATAGATAACCATTTTTTTAATGTTTTTGAAATTAAAAAAAAATTTTTTTTCAGTGGATTTTCTCTCTGGAGTTAGTGAAGGTTTGTGGAAATAAACACTCATTCATTTAGTAGATAAACCAGCATTGACTTTTTGGAACATTTTGGAAGGCATATTGGTGATATCTATTGAAATGAAAACTTCACTTCACAAATTCCACTTCTAGGCATTTATTCTATAAATCCATTTCCACAAGTGTGCAAATATATAAAGTCATATATGTGACTAACTAGAACAGCAGAGAATCGAAAAGGAAATTAGTATCCATCATTAGGGGGAAAAAAAAAGAGTCACATCATTAGGGGACTGGTTATATAAATGATGGTCTATTTTCACTATGGAATACTGTATAGTCATTAAGAGGAGTAACATAGGTATGTCCTACATGGCTCATTGGCCAGGGTTCTAGAACCTGCTTATTCCTAAGTTAGTTGTTCTCAGTCAGGTGCATTTTTGCTCTCCAGGGGACATTTGGCAATGTCTGGAGACATTTTGGTTTGGTTGGTTGTCACCATTGGGGTGGAGGGGAGGTGTTGATACTGACATCTAGAGGGTAGAGGCCAGGGACACTGTGAGATACCCGACAAGCCCAGGACAGCCCCGCAACGGAATGATCCAGCCCCAAATGTCCAAAGTACTGAGGCTGAGAGATGTTCTAAACTGATCAGTGGCGAGGATAATGGAACATCCAGATTTGTGTGTTAGATTAATCAAATCTTACCTTCTGGGACAAGGGTGGGTCCTGCCTTCACATTAGGTAAAATGCCTGAAAAGAGTCAGGGTTTGTGAACAAGAAAGAATAGAATAGAATACTTGCTGTGTTGTGTAAGCAGCCAACAGTGGGTGCCACAAACACAAAATAGAGAACAATATAAAACAAAGAACATTTTCATATGTATGTAAAATCCTGGAAGGGTTTGCACCCAAATGGTTCAAGTCCTTAGCTGGGGAGAAGTAGAGTTGTGAGTGATGTTTTTTTCTGTTTTTGCACTGCTTCATATTTTAAACATTTTCTGTAATGATCATGTCTTCCTTTTATTATCAGAAAAAAACCATAAAAATATGTCAGTTAAATTTAGGTATAAATCTGGCAACAACATAGTTTTTGAGTTTCGTTTTTTTTTTTCTATGATGCTGCTATTTTCTAAAGTTGATGGATGAAATTTAAAAACGAGTGAATGGCTCTGTGAAACCTGAATACATCTGACAAAATCTTGATTTCCCAGATTACAGCTGAAACTGAGTTAAGCTGATACAAATATTTAGTTACTTAATTTTTTTGCTTTGGGTGATCTTAGTTTCCATACATAGCCTTGAATGGAAAGAGGAGGCAAACGGGAGTCAGAAAGTCTGGCTTCTAGAACAGTTTGTTAGGCATGCGAACCTGAGAAAGTCGTTCATCTGTCACAATAACAACAGCACCCAAAGGAAACGGAATTGCTATCTCGATGAGATATCTACACCCCCATGCTCATTGCAGCATTATTCTCGAAAGATAAGACATGCAAACAACCTAAGTGACCATCAAGGGATAAATGAGTAAAGAGAAAGTATATAATATATAATGGAAATATTACATTGGAATATATATATTTCTATTATATATTATAATGGGATATTCTGGGATCTTCATGCTCTGAAATATTATTCAGTCATAAAGAAGAAGGAAATCCTGCCATTTGCAACTGCATGGGGGAAACTGGAAGACATTATGCTAAGCGAAATAAGCCAGACAGAAAGAGACAAATACTATATGGTATCACTTAGATGGAGAACTTTTTTTTTTAAGTTGAACTTATAGAAACAGAGAGTAGAAAGGTGGTTACCAGGGGCCGGGGGTGTGGTCTTTGAGGATGGGAGCAGAATGAGGAGAGGCAGGTCAAAGGGTCCAAACTTTCAATTAGAAGATGAGTAAGTTCTGAGGAGCTGGTGTCCAGCATGGTGACTGCAGTTAATAATACCATTTTATTGAATACACTTGAAATTTGCTACGAGAGTAGATCTTAAGGGTTCTTACGCACACTTAAAAGGTAACTGTGAGGCGATGAGTGTTTCAACTTGATGATGATAAGCACTTGACAGTGGATACAACAGCAA